CCTCCCCCAGGAGATGCCATGGTTAGATTTAGTGGGAAATGGGTGTATTTTTATTGTAAATCTAGCCTGGAGTTTAAAGTAAAAGGGAGTTAAAGGGGTTAAATAATGCCAAAATGGAGCAGTTTTAGTTAAACCAAAACTAAGATCTGTTGGGGTTTAGGTTTATTTCTTTTGGCCAAAATTTCCTGGTTTGAACTACTCCATTCAAATTTTTGAAATAATTTCCTTTTGTTTCTGGTCCTGAGCTGGAGACCCGACATGCTTTTCAAACACATTGTGAATATTTCCCCATTACTGAAATTACAATGTACTTCTTTTTTTCCCATAGCCTCTCTGGAGTGACTGGCCCTGTCAATGGCATCCTGGCAGGTACATGAATTTCAAATTCCTTTTCCCTATATCCTGTGAAGAGCCTGGTGTTCTCCTTCAGGCCAGAAGAAAACCTGAGACAACCAAGGGCTGTCTGGAGTCCATCTGAAACTTCCCTCACTGCCTGCCCACCCCGACGTGGCTGTGCAGAGGGGTGGGCTGGTCTTTGGCACATCCATCTGCTCACTGTGGGTGTTTGCTCTTGTCCCATGCAGTCCCTTGTGCCCTGGGGCCCATGGCGAGGGACGTGGACAGCCTGGCCCTGTGCATGAAGGCTCTGCTCTGCCAGGAGATGTTCCAGCTGGACCCCAGCGTGCCCCCCATCCCCTTCAACGAGGAGGTGAGGCCCTCACTCAGCAAGCCCTGGCTCCTTCCAGGGTGCCACACGCCCTCCTGAAGGGTCCACTTATCTTTACAGTACTGGTTTTCAGTAAAATAGCTCTCTTTTAGGGCACAATTCATAACTGTCATTTGGAAAAAATAGGCAAATCAGTAGTTATCCTGTCTTAGCTGGAATGCAGCTAATTGAATTGAGAGGATCCAGGAAAGAGCAGGGAAGAAGGTGACAAATGGCTGGAGCAAATGGCAAATGGCTGGAGCTGTTTAGGGAAAGATGAGACAGAAGCAGAAACTGCTGCAGCAGCAGACCAGCTTCAGGAGGTTTTTCCAGCTCCACACTTTTTAGCAGTGGTTGAATCCACTTGTCTAGAGTGGCTGTGCTCCTCCTGAAGGAGGGCCTGGAGAAAAAGGCAGGGGTAGACTTTAGGAAAGGGTAACTGTAGGCAGCAAACCAGAATATTAGTCACTCCTTAGCATTTGGAGCTCTTGGCCCCTTCTGCAGTGGGGGTCAGTGTGGGAGCAGACCTTCCCCAGCAGGGTGGGTGTCACGAATGAGGGATTTGGGCACCTAAAGAATCACTGCCAAAGGCATTGCAAAAAGCAAGTTTCAATACAAATTTGCAAAAGGGTGACAAAGTTCAATGACAGGGTTACTTATTGTGAAGATGGAGAACACAAAGGAACATCAGCTCAGTGTCACTTTGGGATGATTTGCCTGGAGACTAGATGCAAAGGACAAGGATGCAAAGGGCAGGGAAGACCCTCCCACTGAGTCACAAGGTTCAGAAAGGACCCCCTTGCTTTCCAAACTCCTGACAGAGCCCTTGCTTTCCAAACTCCTGACAGAGCCTAGGTACAGCTGAGTCCTATCCTAGTCCCAGACTGGCCAACAGTTCAGATCTAAGAATTTAATAGGGAAACACAAGGAGCAGGGGAGAGCCTCCCACGGCATCACAAGGTTCAGAGAGAACCCCCCTCACTTCCTTGATGTCGTGTGGCTGCATCCAGTCTTAGTCCAGACCTGGTCAATGGTGCATGTCTGAAGGATTTTCACAGCAATCCCATCAGGAACAGGAATGACACCTGGTGTCTCCCTGCTCCAGGTGTACTCCAGCTCCACTCCCCTGCGGGTCGGGTACTACGACACCGACGGATACTTCCCGCTGCCCCCCTGCATGAGGAGGGCAGTGCAGGAAACCAGGAGTGCTCTGCAGACAGCTGGGCACCAGGTGAGCACCACCACCCCCTGCTCTCCTCCCCAGCGTGTCCCCAGCCTCGCTCCTCGCTGAGGAAATCACCCTTCAGAAACCAGACACAGCTCCAAGCACATCTGTGGGAAAAATGACCTGGCTGAGGTATGGGATTATGTTATTCCATCCACATAACACCAGGTAGAGACCCCTCTGCCTAAGGAAGCAGTGCATCTCAGGGGCAACCAGCAGGAATAACCTCATGGGGAGATTATTGGGTGGAAAATGGTTGAACCAGGGCTTCTCTTGGCACGTGAAACCCAGGGAGGTGCTTCTCTGCCTCTGAGGATTATCCACATTTGGGTCTTGGAAACCATTCACATCCCCAGGTTGCCACATAATCTTGTGTTTTGGTGCAGCTGGTGCTCTTCTCTCCTCCCCGGGTCCCCTATGTCATGACTGAACTGTTTCTGAAGACGTTTTTTGCTGATGGAGGCCGTACCTGGTTGGATGTGTTGTAAGTAGGAGCCCTCTGGCAGCAGTGCTGCCAACACCTCCATCCCCATGCCGTGAGCATGGCACAGGCACAAGGAGCCCAGCTCTCCCACCCCAAACAGGCAACACTCAGCTCTCTGAGGAAGGGCAAACAGCTTCTCTGGCATGACCCCATCCCCTTGTCATCTCTCAGCACAGGAAATATTATAGATCCAGGCTTGAAACCACAGGTGAATTCCTGCAAGATGCCAAGGCTGGTGAAGAAGCTGCTGGCTCTGCTTCTTAAACCTCTGGTGAGTCCCTGTCCCTCAGGACAGGAACAGGGGCTTCCTGGGGTGACACAAGTTACTGCAGCCCCATGCCATGTCCCTAAGGAACGTCGTGCCTTTCCAGTTTCCCCGCCTGGCTGACTACCTGAGCGCCATGGCTGGAATGAGGTAAGATGGAACTGTCCCCAGGGATGTCTATGGAAATGGGTGATACCTTCTCCTCTAGGTGTCCTTGGCTGGGGGGAACTGGATTCACACCAGGCTGTGATCTGCTGTCCCTCATTCCTGGACATGGCTTCACTGCCTCTAGCGATATCCTGACAGGAATGGGGCATTTGAATGGATAAGGTCATTACAGGAAGCCTGTGGAAGAGATGAGTATTAAATCCAGGCACATCAGGAAAACCTTCTCTCCAGCACTTCCAGACATTTGCTGCTTAATTGCTTGGCCAGATGCCAAAGGAAACTTTAGGAAGATTGTGAAAGCTGTATTGTTTCAAGCAATTGCAAAAATCACCAGGGCTTATCAACCCAGAGGACTATTTAAGCAATTCCTCCTTTTCTTACAGCTTAAAGATGTTGCTATGATTTCCCCTTGCAGGTCAGTAAGGGAGATGTGGAATCATCAGCATGAAATACAGGTTTGTTTTGAGGACTTTCCTCTTTGGCATCATGCTGCAAGTTGAGGCTTTGTGGCAAGCGCCAGGTCAGAGAAGTCATGGGTTTGGAAAGGGATTGTGCAGGGGAGGGGCTGCTGGGGAGGAGACAGGATGGAGGGAAAGGCACAAAGAATGATAGGAATGGGGTGGATGGGCTTTCGAGCCAGGCAGAATTTCACTGGTAGCCTGCAGTGCTCATGCCCAGGCACAGTGAAGGCTGTCCTGGGAGTGGGGATGGCCAGAGTGGGACCTTCCAAATTCCTGGCCACATGCAGTGCAGGCAAACACGAGCTCCTCTGCCTCATCCCTTGAGCACCTCTGCCTGCTGCTGCCTCCTCAGCTGTGCCTGGAGAGGCTGGGAGGCTCCAGGCATGGCCATAGCTCCAGGCATGGCCATGGCTCCACGACACGCCCCTCTCTCCCAGGTGTACCGCTCCCAGTTCATCAGCCAGTGGAAGGAACTCCAGCTGGACGTGGTGCTGTGCCCTGTCCTGGGGCCTGCCTTCACCACGGGATACCCCAGGAAACTCATCGGTGAGTGAGTCTGGGATCCCAGGAGGGCAGAGAAACACAGTGGCCAAGACTAGAGGGGAACACCCACTACCGTGGAGCTTCACTGCCACCCCAAGCATTTCATGGGAATTGGGAAGGAAAAGTAACTACACAGAGCTCTCTGAGCAGATGGAGACAGACACAGCTCTCAGGGGCTTCAGTGAATGGGGAATGTGTAAGTTTGAAGACAGGAGGCTGTGACAGCCTGCATCCTGTCCTGCTTCTCTCAGGTGCCATCTCTTCCACGATGCTGTACAACGTGTTGAACTTCCCCGCCGGGGTTGTCCCGGTCAGCACCGTGACAGAGGCTGATGAGGAAGAGCTAAAGCTTTACAAAGGATGCTGTGATGACCCCTGGGACCGGACACTGAAACAGGTAGGGCACGTGGGGGAGCAGAGACTGCTGATGTGTGTTCAGCTAACAGTTTCAATGATACCAGGGGCTCCTAAATATCTCCATCAGTAGGGGCACAGTGCAAAAAAAATCATATCTTCTTTATACACCCCTTGCTAATCCCCAAACCCACCCTGAACACACCCCTTGTTCTCCCAAGCCCCCAGCTGGTAAATCACTAAGTTTTGGGGGGACTAAAGGATTTCCCATAGGCTGGGCAGGCTGAAGCAGCAAGGAGTCCTGCAGCAAAGCTTCTGGGAGCAGGTCCTTGCAACAGCCACAGCCCACAACACTGCACTGCACTTTCCTCCTGCTCCACATTCCCTTCAACCAGGCCCAGGCTGTCAGTGAAGAATGGATCAGGAATGAGGATGCTGAAGGAAAATGGATCTGCCTACAAGACAGCTCAAGGCAGAGCTGGCTGGGGTGTGTGGGGGGGGAGGTGTCTCAAACACATTACCCAAGATTTGGCAACTATTTCTATCAAAAACCAAGAGCCTTCCCTCTGCCCAGCACACTAACAGGGCTCAAACTCCCACCTCCCCACCCTGTGGGATGAGCCACAGGCCTAAACCAAGCTCCCAAAATGTGCTGGAGGTGGGAGCCCCCGGGTGAGCCCTCCCTGCTCGCGCCCCCACTGCAGGCGGTGTCAGGAGCCCTGGGGCTGCCCGTGGCCGTGCAGTGCGTGGCCCTGCCGTGGCAGGAGGAGCTGTGCCTGCGCTTCATGAAGGAGGTGGAGACCCTGAGCCGCGACAAGAGAGTGGCATAGTCACCACGGCCCCCAAGGAGAAGGGACGGCGCTGCACGACTGCCAGCAGCAGTGCAGAGACTGCACCGAGGAGGGGAGCGGGAAGGAAACGCCACCTCCTGACCCCTCTCCTTGCCAATAAACACAGATCCTGCAAGGAACCCAGATGCCCTGCAGGACTGGCTTAAGATAGGTTCAAACAGTGGTAAATCTAGGAACTGCACTTCCAGCAAGGATGGATGGCCATGGATGTGGGTTCACCCCAATTCCCAGCAGTGCTGCCTCCTGCAGAAACAGGGTGGTGCTGAGAGGAAAGGATTACAGAAGGTCAATAGTATTTTCTTGCTGGCAGTGGAGCAACTTCATATGGATGGAACTATGGGCTGCCCCAGGAGGAATACAGCCGTGTCCATCACCTCCCACCGCTGTAATTTGCTCACAAAAATAAAAATGGAACTATTAAGCAACTCCCATGATAAATTCCAGTAATCCTTCACTGATGGTGAAGTTACTATGCAAAATCACACAAACACCTGCTCACTGGACATTAAATGGCATCTAGCAGGGGAATATTCACACTTATCCACAGCCTTACTAGCTGTGAGGGACAGCAAGAGTCACTGGCCTCTCCACGGCACCACTTCTCCAGCATCCCAAGCACATTTCCAACCCCACAGGAGGGGCACTCTTAGAAACCTGTGGTTTCAGGACCTCAGGCTGCTCTCTCTGAAGGCAGGAGATAAGCACAGACAGATGCAACTCATTTATGCAGATGGTGAGATCTGGGGCAGAAAGGCTGAGATCCCCAGATGGTGTTTGTTAACCCAAACCTGCTCATGCAGGATCAAAGCAGTCAGACAGGAGGAGGAGAGCAGGGCCATTTATCCCACCCCATACAGATGGATAAATTGCTCCCTCTGATAAAACCTCTCCCTCTTTCCTAGATTAAACACCTCAGTCTCAAACAGATAAGTAGTCAGGAAACACAACAGCAGGTCTTTCTCATTTATTCCCCCTGTGTGCAGTAAAAAAATCAAGCTTCCTTTGGGGACATTTTAGAAATAAAAATAAATATAAAGCAGTTCTGCTTTCCCTTAGATACTGGACTATTTCCTGACAGCAGACAGATTCTGCTGCCCCTTCTAGATGCGACGTAACTTGCAGAAATACATGGGCCCAAAGTTGGCTGTGAGGTGAGGCAGGACGAGCTCCCCGAGCCGGCAGTCCGAGAAGAAGGAGAACGTGTCCTGGAAGAGCGTCCGGAAGTGGCTCAAGCCCTCCACGTGGAGGCTGATGTTGAACTGGGTTTCTGCCACGTCCAGAGCCCTCTCCACCACGCACTCGTTCTGCAGCGGGGACAGGGAGCACGTGGAGTACACCACAGCTCCTCCCGGCCTCGCCGCCAGGATCCCGGCCCTGCAGCAAGGGGAGCAGCACATGGTCACCAGCAGGACTCTGAGGGAGGGACACTGAGGGGCTTCCCCACCCACCAAAACCGGGAAGCCAACAGGGAACTGGTAGGAAGTGACAGACAACCCCCACTGAACCCCACAGGCTCGGCAGTCCGTGTCACTGCAACACGAGGAGAGTTTTGGGCCAGGGCAAAGAGTCAAACAGTGCTTATATTGATAAAGGATTTAACGTGGGAGAATGCCAGTGGAGAGCAGCTGGAAGGTGTAATCCTGCAGTCACATCCAAAGGAACGGGATATACGTACAGGGGAAGAGATTCTTGCAGTTCAAGTGCTGCCATGGGGTTGTCTAAGCTGCTTCCTTATTGCCACAGCACACAGTGACAAGCTGTGGCCCTTCCCAGCACCACATGTCCTCCCATGTGCTGGGATAGGTGGGCATGCAGGAATCCTCCAGGGCTGACTGCCAGGACCCAGGAGATCACCACCCAGAACAACTGTACCCATCCTGTTCCTTAGTCCCTTCTCCCTAAATCCTACAGCTACTGCTGGGGACAGAAGGACAAGTGATCTGACCAACAACATTTGCACTTTCTCACACTTACTGTGACTTCATGTGTTCTAGCTACTGCCAGAAAACTACACATGGTTTCCACACTTCCCAGCTGGGGACAGAGTAAGGAGAGATTTCAGGGAACGCAACACAACTGAGCTCACTCACATCAGCAGCTGCAGCTGCAGCATGGGCAGCATCTGTCGCTCTTTGGTTCGCCTCTTGTGGAAGATGTTGTTGTCCTCCTCCATGGCAGAGTGTCTGTCTGTTGTGCAGGGCACATCCACCAGCACCTGCAGCAGCAGAGGTCCCACCTCAGCCCCCTGCACAGGTCAAGCTCAGCAAGTGCCCTCCTGCAGCCAGCCCCACACCCACCTCCTCCACCCCTGCCAACAGCTCTCAGTGCCCAAACACAGGTGGTCACCACACTGAACTGTAATCATCTGGCTGCTCTGGCATTTTTGGAACATGCAAAAGTGGAGGAAAACATCCTGCTCATGTCCTCATTTAATGTCCCTGCTCTGTGTGTGTCCCTGGCAATGCTCCTGCAGCACACATGGGCGTTGCTGCTGCAGCCTCCCAGAGTACCCAACCCAGCCCCTGGAACACCAGACCCAGCCCCTGTGGCTGGACATGGCTGAGAAGCCAGAATTATCCAATCTTCACATTTAACCCCTTCCAGGTGATGGACAAGAACAGGATTTCTAAACACTGTTACACAGGCAAGTAAAGGTACAACTCCAGATGCACATATGCACCAGATCCTGCAGGAAGGGATAGCAGGAGGAAATATTACTCCTTGTGTGGCTTGGTCTTCTCTCTCTTCATTTATGATTACAGAAAACTACAGTTATATGGAAAGATAAACTGCTGTCTTCCTCAAAAAGAGGGAAGTGAACTTGATGGGTTTATCTTCACTGGTTCCCAACACATACCTTATGGAAAGTGCCTCCTTTCACCTGGTCCCAGTCCCTTCCATCGTAGGACGTGACACTCACAGTATCCCTGACTTCTTTGGGGACATAGCTATGGAGAATCTGGTACAGCCTCTTTGTCCGGGAAACGGAGACGTCGTTGGCTGCCAGATGCCCTGACAGGACAGAACAGGCGCACTGGGAATGTCACTTCTGCAGAAACACACCTGATCCCCAGCTCTTCCACACAGAAATCATTAATGGTCAGGCATGAACGGGTGCAGTACACTGCTGCAGCCCTGTTTTACACATGGGAACAAGGGAACACCCATCCCCACTCACCACAAAACCCAGTCTGCAGCAGAGCCAGAGTCTTCCCACCCGGAGCTGCACAGAGGTCGAGGACAAAGTCATCTGGCTGCACATTGAGTGCCAGCACAGGCAGGAGAGATGCTGCATCCATGAGGTAATAGTCGAGGAGCCCCAGAGCATCCGGCCTGGAAATCATCAGTGTGCATAACAAAAGCAAATGTTGGAGGGGAAAAGAAAATAAAGGAGCAGTTGGAAGTGAGGATGGGGACACATGGAAGCAACCCCTGGGGCTGGAAAAGACCAGGCAGTCTGTCAGGGATGTCTCACCGTGCAGGGCGAAAGCGCGTGATGTCACCCCTGGGGAAGGTGTAACACTTGATTTTGGAGCTGATGGAGGCACTAAGTGGTGGGGACATCTCTGCCTGTGTCACCATTTCTGCCTGCATCGCAGTCCTGCCCTCACCAGAGCCCTCCTGGCACCCTGGGGCCGCTTCCCCCACAGCTGCGCCCCGCTGCCATTGCTGCACCTTCTGGGTGGCCTCGGAAATGAAATCGGTGGCGTTGAGCAGCTCCAGCTCTTCGGGAACGTGGCCAGCAGCAGCGAAGTTGTTGAGGAGGGCCCCGTATTTCTGCTCGCAGAGCAGGCCAGCACGGACCGAGGGCCACAGGGCGCCCAGGTGCAGGCCGTAGCTCGTGTCGAAGTGGTGCAGCGCCAGCCGCGTGGACGGGATGCGCGGGGCCGTGGCGGCCTGGTGGGGAAAAACAACAGAAGTGTTCAAAGACAAAACACCCCCAAACCCAGCCTGCCCACTCAGCTTTCATGTTCTTTCAATCCAGCACTGGGACTGTGCTGCCAGAAGTCCATGAGGCCTTTCTGGAGTGTGAGTGTGCCAGGACCAGAGGGAATGGCATGAAGCTGTGACACGGGGGCTTCTGCTGTGAGACAGGAAAGGGCTTTTCACCCACGGGCTGCTTGGGCACCCCAGGGAAGGGGTGCCAGCACCAAGTCTGTTCAACAAGCATTCGGACAACGCTCTCAGGCACAGGGCGGGACTGTCGGGAGTGTCCTGTGCACAGCCAGGAGCTGCATCCTGATGCATCCCTTAGAATTCCACACATTCAGCGATTCCGGGACTCTGTGAACGCCCGAAATGTGGCCGGGGGCCCGGGGTGGGCAGGGCTGCACAGAGAGCGGCGGCAGGAGGGTGCAGCGAGCGGTGAAACGGGGGGACGAGAAGCGGGAATGGGGGGACGAGAAGGGGATTTGCACCGGGGAGCAATGGGGTTAGCGGGGACAAGCGCGGGGTGCCAGCAGCGCCGCGGGCTGCGGTGCTCCGGTCCCAGCTCACCCATTTCTCCTTGTGCCGGTGCCGGCGCGGTGCCGCTCCCGGTGCCGCTCCCGGTGCCGCTCCCGGTGCCCGGCACAGCAGCGCTGCCGCCGCCGCCGCCCGCCCGCGCCCGCCCAGCGCCGCCATCGCCGCTCGCCTTCCGGGGCGGGACCGGGAGCGCTCGGGGCGCGGCTGCGGAGGGCAGCGGGGATCGGGAGCGGGGCCGCACTCAATGGTCTCTAAGGTCCCCTCCAACCTAAACGTGCGGTCATCACTGAGCTGGGTTTGGGCATCAGCTGCTGAGAAGGGTCCGGCGACAAACGCGCTTTGCACAGGCACGGCTGAGCCCTGCCCTGTTCAGTCTAACTTGGCCAGAACATACTGTGTGAACAACGCTGGCCTTGAGGGGATTAGGAATAACCTCTGGGGCTCCAACAGCTAACTTGGCCAGAACATACTGTGTGAACAATGCTGGCCTTGAGGGGATTAGGAATAACCTTTGTGGCTCCAACAAATTCTTCCCCAGGGCACCCACACCAAAACCTACTGGAACTTACATTATACACTTAACCTAATAAAAGTCTGAAATCCGTCAGCAAAAGGACCATGAACCACTACATGGATAAAGAACTGTGATTTATAAGGCGGTGACTTTTATTTCACTTTGAATAGCAGTGATACCCTAGTTTTCCTCCTATAAGGCATTCTCTCTGGCGAAAGGAGCAGGCAGAGCACGGGCAGGACAGTCCCAGGGTGAGCAGAACCCTGGTAACTCACCCAGAAAAGCTTTGGCTCCCCCCAGGTGACCGGGGCTTGAGCAGGTGAACCACCCCCATGCAGCTCCAGAGCCACACGGTTGGTTTCTGGAATAGAAGGCAGAGCTGGCTGCTGCCAGGAGGCTCTTCCAGCCGCTGGCAGAAGCATGAGACAGTGAAGGGCAACTGATAGCC